ATCGACAAGACGAAAGTGCCACGGGACTGACGGAAGGCAGGCCCCCGCCAGCCTGGTCCTCGAGGTCTTCAAGGCCTCACGAGGCCGAAGGGTCCCTCGCAACCCAGAGTTGTGCCCCGGTTGTACCCCCTGATACAACCAATATTTTCATAACGTATTGTGCTAACCTTGAAACGCAGGTGAACCATGCTTCGATAACACACTCGCGAAGCGGCAGCCGGACAAAGCGCATGCCAGGCGCGTGGCGGCGCCCCGACGTGAGGTGGGACCTCAAGGGTCTCCGGGGGCTCGAGAGCCCCACTAGGCCCAGGATGCTCGCTGGGGCTTGGAGCCTCTCGGGTCATCACAACCTGACGCCCGCCCCCCGCCCCACCCCGAAATCAAAAGACTCAGGTGGAGTCTGGAAGCTTGCAGTGGGAGATAGCTAGGCGAGCGGTGGCCCGTGTGGCCACCCGCCGCCGGCCGCGAGATCGGAGACCCCACATTGGAGCAGGCCCTCTTAGGAGAGGACGCCCATGGGTTCTCACCCACGTTGGGGGCCCGTCCAGGATGGCCTGTGCCACCAGGCATGTCGGCGCGTGCTTGCAGGCGAGGGGCGGGGTCCCCATCCGGAAGGCAGGGAGTGCCCTGCACCCCTTCAAGCTTTAACCGTGACACTCTCACGTAATAATGAGTGGGGTTGTACACGCCCCGAAGTCTCCCTGTGCGCCGCCCCTTAGCCTCACGGGGGCTCCCACCCATGCCCAAGTGGACGCCCCGTGCTTCGCGTTGGCGGACGACACGGTCAAACAACGACTATGCCCACACCCAAGTGGAAGCCCCATGCACCGCGCTGGCGGACGATACGGTCAAACAACGACTATGCCCACGCCCACGTGGAGGCCCCATGCTACGTGTTGGTGGGAAGACTAGCTTAGGTGCCGGGACACGACTGTTCTTTGCTTTCTCTTGTAACCAATCTGCCACTTTTTGGAATGAAATATGAAGTTCTTGCTTCTTTAGTCGCAAGGGAATGAGATTTTTTCTGCAGCATTGTCCATTTCATGAGTTTTCTCTTAAGGTACTAGGAACAACCTTAGCAGTAGCGTTGGCTTTTGGACTAGCAGTAGTGGAGGTACCCGCGCTACTGCTACGGCGCTACAGCTAATTTTTAGAAGTAGCGCTTGTTTTACCCCACGCTACTGCTAAATAGACGTACCAGTAGCGCTAGTGCCCCATGCTACTAGTATTCCACCCCCACGCTACTACTAATGGAATAGTAGTATCACTTCTATAATACCCCCACGCTACCAGTAGCTAATTAGGAATTAAAAAAATCAATCAATTCCATTTTATGCATACAATTCCGGAAACACAATAGCGATGGAAATGTCCTTATTCTTATTCTACCATCACATAGTTGTCGTGTCTACTATTACACACTTCCTCATTCTACCTGTTCTCACTCCAATAATAAAGAAAAATGAAAAGGAAAAATAGAGATAATCTGCTAGTGAAATGTCCTTATTCCTGAGTAATATTCAACGGAACGGTGCAACTGCACTGCAGTGTCATGGATTCACTCTGCCTCTTCAACATCTCATTATCCTGCAGCAATGGAAATGAGCATCAGCAAGGCATATAGATATAGTGAATAAATGGAGAGGAAGCATAAGCTCAGATGATACAAGAGATTGGTAGTAAAATTCTGATACAATGAGAATATGCACTGAAATTTGCTCCAAAATTACCTTTTGCAACTCTTCAAATCTTTTGGTTGAAGTAGATAGTGAGGTCTCAACCTACTCCCTCCTGTGAGAAACAGGTCCCCTCAACTTCTTATCATTTGCACGAAAAGAGAGGGGAAGTTACTGTACCTTTGCAAGAAAAATAAGAAACCAGAATAGAAAAAGAGTATGGGTTGTTGGATGAACATAGACATGAAAAGCATGATAAAGAACACCCTTTACCTAGTGGAATTATAGTGAGTTTTTACAATGATTTTGCAGTAGATTTACAGTTCATTAGAAATAGAGATACATTGCATTAGAAGCAGATTCACAGTAAATTAGTAGAAGATTTATAGTAAAAACTGTTCACACTAAAAGAAACTATAATTTTCGTTGACAAATTGCAGTGAAAACCACTTACAGTTACACTTAAAATAGGGCAATTTGTGTGAGTTATAGTGGATTTGCCGAATTGCATTTGCACTAGGAAACTAGTCCTAACATATCAACATTTTGATCAGCATTATAAATCCCATTGTGAATCCAAGGAAATCAAAAGTTCTATAAGATATGGCTAGAAAACACTGGACAGAACAGAAAGTAGCCACTGCTTTGCTGTGTGGAAAATTTCCCGGCTTTACTTCACTATGGATAGGATAAAGAATCAATAAAGAAAACACCCACATTAAAACTTTTGCATCAATGTTTGCAGTTTGGACCATCAGTTAAAATAAATGCACTAGCAAGTTAGTCTCTACATCAACCAGCCATTGAGACATGCATTTACTGACATGTACTTGGAGCCGCAGTTGCTTCAGATACTCAATGAGTATGGCCTCGTCAAGCATGGATGCCTTGTCAGTCTGTAACCACACAAGCACTACCAAACTCAATAGCCCCGAATTCAAGGACAAAGAAAAACAAAGTGGTACAGTAGATGGTTTTGTGGTGCCGACCTTGTTGGAATTGGGTATCAGGATCTGCAATGCCTTCATCTTCTCGTTAATCCTGCTCCTCCGCCGCTTCACCCCAATCAAGCAAGCAAGCAAGCAATGATCAGCCAAGAAAATAGGGCGAGAAGAGCAGAAAAGCGGTGTGAAACTCAGGGGAAAATGGTTGACGACGGGGAACCGGGCCACCACCCTCTCGGAGAGGTTGTGCACCTCGGCGGCGCGGGTGCACTTGCTGCTGGACCCCCCTCCCCCGCGCGGGCAGTCGGATGTCCCATGCGACTCGGGCTCGGACGAACCGCCCATCTCGCTCTTGTAGAACCCAGTGGCGCCTTCTAAGTGCCGTCTAAATCTGCTCATTGCAGAAAAATTATACCCCAAAGCTGAAGAAATATTCAGTTACAAGAAATGAAGTAATATTCATTTAGAAGATTTTAGTGGTATACATTGACAGAATTTCAGTCCTTTAAAACCTACGAGCATCCATCCATAAAAGCATAATCACTTCAATTATATATAAGCTACTTCATAACAAAAGAAACTATACCGAAACACTAATTAACTCTGAAGTAGTGAATTAATCACTGCAAATCAGCTATTTGTTTCTTTCCACTCCTAAATTGCATAAGAAAATCTTCAGCTGTTATTTTACTCTATGCTTACTAGCTACAACCTATTGGATAGAAAAACACCTTCCATTGTATTATGATGTAGCTTGTGTAATTAATCTCAGAGTAGAAAATGCACGCTAAGTACTTGTGGTATAAAATGTAAAATAAATGATTTTTCCCTTAACCATCACTGTCTCTAAACAACACTTTTTATTTAGTACAAAATCTGTGACCTAATTAGAACTTACTCCAACTAGTTAACATGAAAGAATCTACACTGAAAAGGCATAATCAAAGAGTTGGACTTCAGTATAGCAAGATTAAATTCCCAGTGGAGAGAGCGTGGGCAGGTTGCCCTTGCTGCTGACAGGCTAACTTGCATGCGGTGCTGGCGGCGCCTACGCATAAGCACGGCCGTGACGAGACATCGGCGGTCAAGGAGGCATTAGTGGCGGGATTAAACGCAAAAGAAATGTTTATAAGGTGATGATAAGTCATTACCAAGCAACCTGATAGCAAATTCTTCTACGCACCGAGAATAACCTAAAATTAGTACGCATTTTGGTCCAATTGGTCAGGGTCCAAAATGCAGGTCAAGACCAACTATATCAACAGCTATAAGAACCTCTCCCTCATGCATGCCTCTTATGCTACCTTACAAGAATTCCTACAAACAGTGCACACAATTATGCCAGCAATCATTCAGAATACTCTAGTACAGTACATGGAAATCAGTAGCAAACAAAACAATTCACGCATAGAATGAATGCACCAGCTCAGACATTCAATCGATAGCAACCTAGTACAGCACCAAAGGTTCGTTCTTTTCAATTAAGAGAAGGCCGACAGCTAATGCATCCAGCCTGTCGGCCGTATATCCGCCGGAATCCACCCTGACCTGCCCCAGAAACACACATATCAAGCACCTAGGACTCAAAACAGCCTGGAGGAGGAGACACGAGGGGCACCTCGGGCTCGACGAGGGGCTTGCACTGCAGGAGCTGCTCGATCTGCTCGTCGAGGTCGGCACGCAGATTCCCCATCCTCCCCTCCGCCCACCAGGCACACGTCGACCCCTCCCTCCCGGAATGTCTCCGCTCCCCCGTTCGCCGGCGCCGGAACCCTGGCACCAGATCTATCGGGAGAGGCGACCGCGAGTGGGGGGAGGAGGGAGGAGGAGGAGGGGGCGCGAAGCGGTGAGAGGTGCGGAGAGGCAGAGGAGGACGCGGGTGGAATAGCTCGAAGAAATATTTATCCATGGGTCTCCGTATGGCCGTCGTTTGGGGGCGGAGGAGGCATCGGCGGCGGCGGGATTGGGAGGAGCGGGGGCGGAGGAAAGATTTGGTGGGGTGTGAGAATGAGAGGGACTGGGGCATGTTGATTAGTTGTAGCGCGGGGCAAAGGTGCCGCGCTGTAACCAAGTGGGTTGACCCTGTCTATCCATAATAGTAGCGAGGGGTGGTATACCCGTGTTATTACTATCAACTTAGTAGTAGCGCGGATTTTAAACCCGCGCTGCTACTATGGTTCGTTCTGGGGGCACTGTGATGATCATTTACTAGTAGCGTGGGAAATGTAGGCCCACGTTACTGCTATTCTCTAGTAGTAGCGCATTATTTTACCCGCGCTACTTCTAAGTAGTAGAAGCATGGGGCTCTTACCCCTCGCTACTGCTAAGCATCTAGCTATAAGGTATTTCCTAGTAGTGGGTAGCCATGTCTGCTTGCTCGCCCGCCGACTGATTGCTCTGCGAATGGGGTTAGACCAGTGCCCACATCTAAGTCATCCCGAGCACGACCATTCTACTGCTCCGCGAATGGGGCTAGCAGGCGAAGCTTGCCCAGGATCCTTGATGAGCACCGGTCTCGTGGTCCTGTCCGGGCGTCATGGCCCGATGTAACATAATCAAGCTACCCCTACTCAGGAGTCGCAGACGCACAGTGAACAGGGTAAAGGCGGCTTAAGGGAGTATATTGTCGATTCATACATGCATCGCAAAGGGGTCTTTCCCAAAATACTCTTACATCCCCACGGGGTCATGTTCAAAACCTTGGTAGGAGATAGGAAAAAGACAACCTAGGGAGACATGCAGTCATCATCGCTACTATCATCGTCGTCGTTGTCGCCATCGTTGCTACCACCATCAGCCTCGGGCTGGCCTTCGCCACCTGTAGAAGTGAACTCCATGATCAGGTCGTCCACGTGGTCCTCCACTCGTCCTTCCAGGGTGCCCCTAATTTCCACAGGCACGGAAGCTATCACAGCCTTGAGGTCGAAGTCGGGGTCAAAGTGAAGAAGATGGCTAAAGACGCGCCAGGACACACAGACAAGAAGATCGCGGCTCTTCTCTTCGACGAGTTGGCACATCTTCTCAGCCCCACCTTCAAGGAATTCCATGCCCCTAGTGAAGAAGCCGAGGTAGCCAGCGTCGTCAGCAACGAGCGGGCTGGAGACGTCCTCGGCGCAGATGCCGCTCAGGGCCCAACAGGGCCTCTGCTCAAGGGCTTGGAACATCTGGGACCGTGTGTGATGTAGTCCCCGGGCTCGGTTCGCCACATCTGATGCCCGCTCCACGAGGGAGGTGACATCCGCCACCTGCTCGTAAGGAGAGGAAAACTCCGTTTTAGCTGCAGCCTGGGTGTCCAACACGGCTTCCTCGCGTAGCTCTGCTTCGCCTAACTTCTTTTTGAGATCGTCGGCCTCGCCCTTCTGCTCGTCGCGCCATTTGCAGAAGCGGGACTCTTGAAGCTTCAATCTCACGCGGTAGTCCTGGGAGGGGCACGGCGGACCCCCTCGACCCTCTCCTTGGCCTCCTCCTGGGCAGTCTCCTCGTGAGAGGCCAGAGCGGCCTCCGTGTTCATTACCTAGCGCTCCATCGCCTCCAGCCGATCGTGCTCCAGCTCCTGCTCTGACGCCACCAGCTCCAACACCTCCCCCAGAGCGCGAAGCTCCTACTCGCGGCTCGAAGGCCCACTCGTTGGGGCGAGGGCGGTGACACCATGATCTCGGCCTTGCCGCTCCAGAGACGCGATGGAGGCCAAGAGCACCTGCTCGCGCCTCTCGGCGGCCTCACACCGCTGGTCCGCGGCCTCGGCTTCCTGAAGGCACGGTCACGGGCCTCTTTGGCTGTTGTGGTAGATGCCCCGTCCTTCGCGCGAGTGGCTTCATGTTGGAGGTGGCTGAAGTTCATGGCCACTTCGAGCCGGCGCCACTCCCGCTCCAAGCGCTGATCTTCGGCCTCAAGCTCCACCTCAAGCCGGCCCAACGTGCCCCTCGCGCCCTGAAGGAGGCCGAGCCGGATGGCACCCCAAATGCGCGCAAGCTCCAATGCCCGGCCAGGGATCTGATCCGCGCCCCTGGCTGGGGCAGGGGCACCGAAAGATCCAGCAACATCAGACGGCAGCTTAGGGCCAGTTGACTCGGTGCCCACCCTCATGGCTTGAGGCGTGGCCCCGCACTAGATCGACATCAGGCCGCTCTTCGGCTTGTGGCAGCCCCAGGGGTCGCCAGGCGGCATAGGGATGAGCGGCGGCACCACCCATGTAAGCTCTACGCCGCCCTCGTCGGAGGCCCGCCTCGGGGCCTCGGGGTCGTGGACCACCAGTAGACACCTCAGGAGAACCACAACCCCTTCAAAATATGCAGGCTCGAGTTAGGGATACTCCGACACTCCGGAGGATGGCAACGGGGGCTCCTTCACCTCTTAGTCTAGTTGGGACCTATGAAACGGAGGCTTAGGAGGACTCGACAAGCAGAGGTTAGGAAAAGCGAAAGGCTTACTCATCCATGGTGATCCACTTCCTCTTCTTCGAGGCTCATGGGGCCGAGCCTCTGTAGCTATCGTGCTTCCCCCTCTTCCAGGGAGTGCAGAGGCTGGAAGTCAACCTGCTAGAACTTGGTGCGAGGCCCCTCGTGCTCGGTGTGGTAGGTGTGCCCTGGGGACGGACATCTCCCTCGCCGATCGGAGCCGCGGGGGCGGATTGTTGTGGGGCAGGCGCCCCGGCAAGTTCCTCCACGACCGCGCTGGGAGCTTCATCCTCAGGGCCCCTGGTTCCAGGTGCCACCAGGAGGGGGTTGTCGCGAGGCCCAGTGTGGCCTTCAGGGCGCAGCCCCCACTCATCGAAGTGCGGCATCGCCCTGGCACCAGAAATAGCCTCACCCTTTCATGAGTTTGCTTTTATATTATCACCTGAATGTCCGGTGCTTTGCCACCATGAATGTTTTGCGCCCTCACAAACCCGTCCGCGACCGCCTCATGAGTAAGGACTGGCACGACATCTGTGCTCGGGTCTGTCCCTGCAGCGTCACCATACCCAAGTGGCTGAGCTCTGTCTCGCGGGCTAGCTCCCGTGTACGTCACCTCCCGTGGTCCTTGGTGCCTTGTTCTCGCATGAGCTAATCGAGAGTGGATGAGTCAGTGCGCGTGACCCGGTGCTTCGCCGCTATGGGAACCGCGTGCGGTTGTCTTTCTTTAGGATTGTTGCATGAGAAGACTGGGCAAGGCGTATGTGCTCGGGTCAGTCCCTACAACATCGATAAACCCAATGGGTGAGCTATGTCTGGCGAGCCCGCCCCGTTCACATCACCTCCTTGGGTCATTGTTGTTTGGCCTTCTCATGTGATTTCCTCTGGAGATTCACTCGACAGAGGCCACCTAAACATCTCGCACGACCCTTACACATGTTCTGAACCAAAAATTCAGGCACAACCCACCTTGAGGTAGGGCCTCGTGAGTCCCGCGCTGGCTCA